CACCCAGCCGCCCGCCACCAGCTCCACAGAGCCAGCAGCCCCGGCAAGCAACAGCAGGAACGGCAGACAGCGCCTCTGCTGCCGACCCGGAAGCTCTTCCGCCGCCAACCGCGGGGTCGCGAAGGGTGCGAACCGGAAGTGGTCTCCTCGCCCCGGTAGCAGCGGGAGGAAGAACTGAGGCCTTTGAAGACCCGGGAGCCCCTAGTTTCTGGAGACCGTGAAGAGTAAATAGGGCTGAGTCGTGAGGAAAAGGAAGGACAGTAAAGAATTACTACGCCAGAGGTTTTTCCAGCTGCAGAAAACCGAGCTGTACGGGCTCTGGGGGAGGAGCGCTACGGAACCCGTCCGGTGGCGACCCGGGTCTTCCTGCCGCAGGAAGTTGGGCCGAGTCGCTCTGCCTAGAGCTGGGAAGAAGGAATGACAAAACGGCGACGGTCCCCCGCCCCCAGGTGACCGTCCCAGCCCCCGAGGTGAATGTAGCGGCCTGAGAGCCAGCCGGGCGCCCGCACGGGTGAGACCTCTCGATTTCCTTCGCGGAAAAGAGTAGAAGCAAGATCCAGACTCCAGCGAGAGAAAAACGGGTGGTAGACCGAATCATCTCCACGTCTCGTTTCTACAGGCAAGAAGTTTCTTTTTTAAACGTAGTTACAGAGAAGATACAGTCGCTTTTTGGGTGGAAACTGAGCAGACTAACTTGCTGTTTTTTCCTGTTAAGGGGCAGTGATGGGGTGGCGACGTAGAAAAACGTCGCAGGCCGATAATTTTTGTTGTTTTTGTAGGGAAAGCGATCCACAGCTTGTCAGTTTAGCTCACTTCTCTCTTCAGTATTTTTCTCCCTCATTTAAGGTTTTGTACTTCCTTTCTTTGCCTTTTTTCCATGATATGTTTTTTGAGCTTCGCCGGAAGACTTTACCTGCTCTAACGGGATCTGAACACCATTCCTTTTCCACTGTCTCGGACAGCTCGTGTCTACAGTTTGCAAACAGACTAACACACTACAGGGCGTTACCCCGTTCGTGGGTACCAATTGGCAGCTGTACACGTCCTCTACCCGTCCTAAGGAAAATGCCCCTATATATTTTCAAAGGATTCCGGTTACGGACCACGCCCAATAGAGAACCATTTCCCCCACTTCATCTGTAAGGTCTTTTTGTTTCAGCAGCATATTACCTACCATGTGGAACTTTTTCCCTAGTGAGCCAGTAGGCAAAATGCCACGCAGTCCCCAGAACTCTATTAAAAAGTCATTCTTAACATCAACCTCTGGTTATACCTTTCTGTTTATTTTTAGCCGGTTACTTTTTTCTAAAGCTGCCATACCAGCTTTACCTTCCTATCTTAGTGTCTTTTGTTATTTTTCCTGACTTAAGCTTTGGTTCTTTCTTTAATGTCACGAATACATATTTCAAACAGTCAAGTAGCAGTATTTCTTGAAAATAAATTTAATATCAGGGATATGTAACATTATTTTTAAAATTATATATGATGAGTATCAACAAAGCACTTTGCTATAAATGTTTTCCTAGTATGTGTTGACCAAGACAGGAAAATTAAGAATTATTTCATTTCTCTTTTTAGGCACATAATACAAAAAATTGTGTCTGTAATTGTGCCATGTATGTTACACAGTGTCGGCACAATACAGTGTCCTTTACTGGACTTTCAGTCTTTCAGGAGGTAGTCAGGTATCTCATAATGTGTAGTTTTATTACTTTTAAATCAGTATTAATCTGAGATGAAAAGTAATTGCCGAATAGAAATTCAGAAAAGAAAAAAAGCCTCATCCCTTTCACATGGTGTATAAAAGCACTGTTGCATGAAGTGGATTTCAATAATGATCTTATGAAATAATTCCATGAGGTATGGAATGAAAATAAAAAGATGTGCTCTCATAACTTCAAAATGAAACACCTCTATACTGTTTCGGTAGCTTTTCTGTGAAATGTCTACTTTCTTTGGACCTAATCAAAGAAAATATGTAGAATTTAAAACATTTTAAAATAAATTATTTGATTTAAAATAAAATAAAATAAATAATTGTTATGATCTTAGGCCAAAATTTATTTAAAATGCAAAAGTAACCAGATTTTTAAATAATTTCTTTTTAGTGAAATTTTTCAGTTGTAAGGCATTTAAGAATTATTATTTAGGAAAGTAAATTAGGCTCCAAAGTGACATCAGCAGTTGCAGATGAGAAAACAGAATAAATTTATCTCTGTCCTTTCAAATAACGTTCAAAACCCTTTCTTGAAGATGGTCTGTTTTCTCTCTTGAGAGTTGGAACAGTAAGGGGCTCATTAAATATGAACAGATCCTCTAGTACCTAATGGGCTTTTTAAAAATTCAAAAAAGGGCCAGGGATTTAGCTCAGTGGTTCTGCTGCCTGCTTTCAAGTGCAAGGTACCAACTTCCATCCCAGATCCCCATACCAAAAAAAAAATTTTTTTTTCAAAAAAAGTTCATGTCAACATGGCTAGGACAAAAGGTCTTTGCTTGCTGGTTTTTTTTAGAAAAAGTATAAAAGATTTTCAACCAAAAAGAAACGTTTTAGTCTAGCCATTAAAAAGTGCATAGTGAAGAGAACTATTAACCACGAGTGTGATTAAAATTTAGTTACTCATTGGAAATTGCCTGGAGACTTAGTTGAGGAAAAAATTAGTTTAGTTTAAGAGAAAAAATATATATAGAGATAAACACACACATACAACTACACAGTGAATATATTTGGGAAAGAATGTTCCATCTGGGGAAATGATGACCCAGGCCTTTGCACTGAGCTATATCTCCACCCTTTTTTATTTTAATTTTTTGTTCTGAGTAGATCTCCTCTTGTCACGGGCTTGCCCATCCTGGGCTCAGACTTCCAATCCTCCTGCCTCAGAGTGCTGGCATTACAGTCATGCATCACCAAATCCAGCTGGAAAAAAAATTTTATTTCTTTGATATTGTAATCATTTGTCCTATCAACATCAACATCAGAGCTTTTATCAACTGACCAAATAGCTTTGGCTCTATGATAGGCTTCTATGATGAAAATTATAAACCATATTTTAGCTTATTCAAACATCTAACAAAGTTTCTCCTAGCTAAAGATTCTATAGTGAGTTAAGTAAATATGTCTTTTTTTTTGGTATTGGGAATCCAACTTGGGACCTTGCACATGCAAGGCAGGCGGCGGAACCATTGAGCTAAATCCCCGGCCCTAGTTAAGTAAATATAAAGCAGCTGCCACCTATTTTCAGCTTCCAAACTTAATGTAACATTCACTGTGTAATGTATTGAAAATAAATGTGTACCATTCTAATTATTTCAAATTATCATTTACAAAATATTTCATAATCATGGCACTTTTTTAAGCCTCAGGGACAGATTCATACTGTGCAGTTAAGAAGATCTCTGAAACCCAGATGTGGTGGTTACATGCCTTTAATCCCAGCACTCTGGGAGGCCTAAGCAGGAGGATTGCCAATATGAGCCCAGCATAGGCAGTTTAACAATTTAGTGAGACCCTGTATCAAAAAATAAAAAGGGCCAAGGGCGTAACTCGAAAGACCCTCTGTTCATCCCCAGTACCACACACACACACACACAGGCACGATCTGTGAAATTATGCCCATTTAAAAAAATTTTACCTTTAACAGAAAAGGAATTTTTAAAAACAGAAAATCTTAAATCATAAGGTAAGGCTTTGAATAGTTGTATGATGAAGATACAATCAGTTATGTCTTTTAGTACTATATATTCTAAGCTATAAAAAACATTTTAAACTTGTTTTTCAAAGTTAGTATGTGGAAATAAAAGTTGTCATTTGGACTGTAATACTTTTTTTTTTACATTTCCACCTATTGTGTCATTAATCTTTCAAGTAATTTTTTTGTTTGTTTTATAAAGCAATGGGAAATCCAGAAAACATAGAAGATGCATATGTTGCTGTTATTCGTCCAAAGAATACTGCCAGTCTCAATTCTCGAGAATACAGAGCTAAATCATATGAAGTGAGAAAATTTAATCATATTTGATTTCTACCCATAAATGTCATTTTGTACCACAATTTACATATAAAGTCTAATGATATGCTCTAAATTTTTATTGACAAGCTACACTCTTTTTTCTGCTGCATCCTTTTTGACTGTTTGCTATTTATTTGCATATAGGATATTAGAAAAAATTTGTGGTGTTAATAGACTTAGGTTTTAGTACAACTTATTAAATGGCTCTAAAAAATTAAAAAACTACAAAAGCCAGTTAAAATTGCAATATAAACATTGTTCTTGGTTATTTTTCCAAATTATATTTAACAATTCTTTTTTTTGGGGGGGTACCTGGGATTGAACTCGGGTCCTTGCTCTTGCAAGGCAGGCCACTGAACCGCTGAGCTAAATCCCCAGCCCCTTAACAATTCATTTTAAAGGATCTTTTTACCTTAAATTTTAGGCAATGAAATTACTTTCCTGTGGTCTTGAGTTATTTTACATACAATAGTAAACATGTAATTGAAGCAAAAATAAGTACGCCGCTGAATTATTTTTTTAATGCAATAGACTAAGCACTATGAAATACTGCTAATGTAATTTAATTTTCTTAGCATTTTGCCATAAACTGCTTTTTTAGGTATCTGAAACCTGTTATAGAGTGCTGCAGGCATTTTTAGGTTTCTGCTTTAGGGCTGCTCTGGCTTTCAGTTTCTCAGTCCTGGCTCACTGTAGAATCACCTGGGGAGCTTTTGAAGCTATCATTATCAGGGTCCAAGGACCCAGATATGCTAATTTAATGGTCTGAGATGGAGCTCTGCATTGGTGTTATTTTAAAGCTTCTCAGGTTATTCTAATATACAGCAAGGGTTGAGAAAGGCTACCCGCTTATTTTAGTATTCCAGGACAAATACATTGTATTTTAAACCTTCTGTTAAATGTTACTCTTTCATTTAAGATTTTGTTGCATGAAGTTCCTATTGAAGGACAGAAAAAGAAAAGAAAAAAAGTTTTGTTGGAAACTAAACTTCAAGGCAACAATGAAATAACACAAGGCATATTGGATTATGTAGTAGAAACCACCAAACCAATTTCTCCTGCAAACCAGGGTATCAGAGGTATGAAACATTTCTTATACTTTCTTAATTTTTTTAACATTTTGCTTTAAATTCTTGTAAAGAAAGATTTTTTTAAGATATATTAAGTTCAATCTGTTTATGTCTCTTTCCATTTTAAAAAACTACAAAAAGGGCCAGGGATATAGCTCGCAAGAATGAGGTCCTGAGTTTGATCTCCGGCGGAAAAAAAAAATCTTACAAAAGACAGTTTTTTAATCTATAGTCAAGCTCCTTCAAGAAAAAACTCTAAACTGTTATTTTTAAAACTTCAAATGCATTTAAAGAAATCATAGTATTTTAATGATCAGTTCAGTAGAGAGAGAAAAGGAAATATTTTGAACACTACGAATTACTGTTCGTAAAAGTATAGTTTTCTGGAAAAGTATCTTTGAATTTCTCTACTCCAAGACAGAGGAAATGGCAAGCCTCTCTTCATAACTAAATGAAAGTTAATATTCATGGATTAGGGGAAGTCTGATAAATTACCACGTAGCAAAGGTTTTCTTCCCACAGAAAGGAAACATTTCAAACACCCAACTTGAATTGTGCAAGCACTAGCACTGAAAAACGAAGGCCCCATTTAAAAATTAGATAATAGAAAGTCTATAAAAATGATTAAAATTTTGTGATCCATTTTCTAGACAAAAGCCTCCTAGGAAGCAGAGAACAGTCAAAAATTATAAAAACTAACCAGGTGGTGGTACAGGCCTATAATCCCAGGATTTGGGAGGCTGAGGCAGGAGGATCACCTTGGATTCAAGACCAGCCTGGCTACATTGTTAGTGCAAAGCCAGCCTGAACTGAACAGCAAGGCCCTGTCTCCTCTCCCCCACCAAAGTTATAAAAATGATAAACAACTATGTCCAAAGTTGAGGCATAATTGAAAAGATAATTATTATTTTAGTCAAACAGCAGTTGAAAAGTTGTTAGCGAGGTAGAATGCCTCCTTGTGCCTACATTTTTTATTTTTAAAGCGTATACATTTGCTCTTTTTTTCCTGTTTGTAGATCTTTATAAAGATTAGTTGTCTGTCTCTATTGCAGAGATAACAGCCATATCCTATGATTTGATTTATTAGTTATTTTCCAAGTTTGTTCTCTAGACATAATATCACTGAACTATAAGGCCATATTTTACAACCTTTGGAGTTGCTGTTTGCTATATTATCCTTTCATAGGTAACTTCCAAAGGAGGGCTCTAGGGTCTCTGTGAGTTTGGGCTTTAAGTATAGTAACTCAAGATTATGCAAGCTTCCTACATAAATGTGAAGATCTTTGATTTGCATTCTAAGTGTCACAAAGAGAATCCTCTTTCCTTACCAGATTCTGGTTTTGTTTTTTTTAGATAGTGCCTAAATTGCCCTAGCTGAGCTCAAACTTTTAATCCTCCTCAGTCTTCCAGAATGCTGGGATTAGGCAGGAACCACCATGACCAGCTCAGGATAACTTTTTTTTTTTTTTTTTTTTTTTTTTTTTTTGGTACCCGGGATCGAACTAAGGCCCTTCTGCTTGTGAAGCAGGCAGAAGAATCACTGAGCCAAATCCCCAGCCCTCAGAATAACTTTTTAATCAAATGCCCTCAAAACCAATTTTAGCTAAAAAAAGAAGTCTTTTTGGATGTTTAATGCTGCAAAAGACTGTGATTACCAGATTTTTTAGTCTTTTCTATCACAGTCTTGAACTTCTCTGATAAATTTTCATCCAGTTTTGTTGCACTTTTGCCAAGTTGTTGTAGTTACCAGGTTTTCCTAAGACCAAACCCATGACACAGAAATCTGCTTTGTCTGTCACATAGTTGAGCTAAGATAAATGAGTCATAATTTGCTATGAATTAGCCAAGTTGTGTTACTTAAGTCATTCAGAAGATTATGTAAGAGGTGTCAGTGTTAAAAATTTCTCCAGGCCCAGAATGCTCAGGTATTTCCCTTAGGAGTATACAGCACAGTTTTGCCCTGTATATAGTAAAATATCATAACAATTTTCAGTCAGCTTTTTTTTTTTCCTCATTGAGTTTATTGGTGCATTTTAGGTATACAGTACAGTTACATTCATTATTAGGACCTTGTACCTTTACATGACAGGTCTTGGTTCTCATTTTTTCCCCTTGTCCCTGCCCTCCCTTCACCCTTTCAGTCAGAGCATGACACAGAAATCTGCTTTGTCTGTCACATAGTTGAGCTAAGATAAATGAGTCATAATTTGCTATGAATTAGCCAAGTTGTGTTACTTAAGTCATTCAGAAGATTATGTAAGAGGTGTCAGTGTTAAAAATTTCTCCAGGCCCAGAATGCTCAGGTATTTCCCTTAGGAGTATACAGCACAGTTTTGCCCTGTATATAGTAAAATATCATAACAATTTTCAGTCAGCTTTTTTTTTTTCCTCATTGAGTTTATTGGTGCATTTTAGGTATACAGTACAGTTACATTCATTATTAGGACCTTGTACCTTTACATGACAGGTCTTGGTTCTCATTTTTTCCCCTTGTCCCTGCCCTCCCTTCACCCTTTCAGTCAGCATTTAATAGAGGAAATTAAAATAGAGGAATTTTACTTAACTAGAAAATTATATTAAGGAGCTATGGTATATCCTGAAACTCCTAGAGTTTTTTTTAAATGTAGAATTGTTTTTTTGTTTTGGTACTGGAGTTGAACTCAGATTCACACGATAAACACAGGCTTTATCACTTAGCTATACCCTAGACTCCTAAGAATTTTTTTTAGGGTACTATGATTCCTTATACAATTATCACATGAAAATTATGAAATGACTAATAGCAATAGATATGTTTGACATTTTGTATAGTATTGTGTGTAGCTTACAAATACTACCACACTTTATTTTTTATGAAATTCTTAAGTTCTGTAACTTAGTATGTGGTCATTTTTACATCTGTAAATGGAAATGTTGACATTGGTTGTCACCTGCTAAGAGAATATTGCCATTAATGGAGGTACACCTAAGAGGTTCGTATCCCAGCTTGTAGTCAGTGTCTCCCCCGCAACATATACTATCTATCTATCTATCTATCTATATATATAATATAGCAATATGCATAATTTAAAAAGCAGGCAGTTAAATAGGGGAGCAGCATTGGATTTGAGAAAGCAAAGCAGGAATGATCAGATGGAGATAAGACCTCCAGACACACAAGAAAAATAATGCTTCTAAATTCATTAGGGTGTGCTGGGTGTGGTGGCGCACACCTGTAATCCCAGTACTCGGGAGGCTGAGGCAGAAGGATCGCTGTGAATTCAGACCAGCCTAGGCTACATAGTGAGTTCCAGGTCAGTCTCAACTACATAGTGAGATCCTGTCTCAAAAAACCAAAAACCAAAAACAAAACAAATAAATTCATTAGGGTGTTATTTTGTAGCCAACACTCATTTTGTGTAAGTATCCAGTTATAAAATAATTTTGGGAGCTATAATAGGCCTTAAAAATCATGAATTATTGACTGATACTTTGTGGATAAACGAAACTGTTTAAAATCTTATCTACCTGTCTACAAAAGACATTGTATGTGCTAGGTATTTTATTTCCTGGAGTGAGGACATAAGAAGGGTTGATAAATAACCATGGTAAAGGAGAGAATGAGAGGTTATAGAGTATAAGACTTATGTGTTACCATTTATTGTACCCTTACTACCAAATGGGGTTAAATAGACTAAGAAGGGTTGTTATAGTTCAGAATAATAGTTTGTAGTCCAATTAGTATTTTAATTAAAAACTGAATTTGCAATAGTGGTTGAATGTTTAAAGAAGAGCTAATAATAAACATTTAAAATTTGAAACTTGCATATACTTCCTTTCTCAGTAGGTAACAATACAACATCCTCCTTAGTGAGCCCAGAATTTAATAAAATTCTCACACCTTTATCTCAGCTGAGTGAAGATGGTACAGGATGCCTTGCTATTTGGAGCTGCTCTTTCCATTAAAAGAGAACAGCTTTCCTTCCTATGCATAGGAAGATCTCTTCTAGTGATTTAAACCACAAAACTATTAGTTGTATATAAAATGTGTGTTATCAGTTTTTATTACTGCATATAATAAAACTATTTCAGTTTCCATAACATGCTGTGTTTTAAATTTTTTCCTGTGTTGTGATTGTTTGTGTGGTGCAGACACATGCCCATGTTAGACAAGAGTTCTACCGCTAAGCTATATCCCTAGCTCCTCAAAATTGATTTTCTAATTCTTAGGATAATTTATAAGACTTAGAAGACCATTTTTATCTTTGCTTACTTTTTCTTTAATGATTAGGGAAACGAGTGGTACTAATGAAGAAATTTCCTCTGGAGGGAGAGAAGATAGGCAGAGAAGCAGCATTATTTATTGTTCCATCAGTTGTCAAAGGTAAAGTTCAAATCTGTCTTACCAGTCTTCATGTACTTTACATGCTGAAAGTCTACTGAGGAATCAAGAAATTTGCATTAATGATTACATGTTCTTAAGTTAATAGAAGAAAGCAAATTTGTTAATAAAAATGTTTGATTTCAAAGTAGTGTATTGCCTTCTTGGCTGAACAGCAATATTTTTGTATTAGTTTCCGAAATAGGGGGAGAAGGAATGAGGGAAGGTGTAATTGAAATGTAAAGTATTTAGGTTACAGTAAGGGATTTTTTTTCAAAGAATATACCATAGGATAGTAATAAATATTTAAGTATTCTGGAAAATTAACATACTATGATCAGAGCCTGTCTTGTACTGGGCACAAGAAAATGTCAATACTAAAGTACTCTGCTCAGTAGTAGTATTTGGTAATATTTAAAGCGTGTAGCCAGGCGTGGTTGCGCACACCTGTAATCCTAGCATTTGGGAGGCTGAGGCAGGAGGATCACTGCAAGCTCAAGACCAGCCTGGGCTACACAGTGAGTCCCAGAGCAGTCTGAACTACATAGTGAGACCCTGTCTCCTGTCTCAAGAAACCAAAATAAATAAATTAAAGCCTGTAGATCTAATGTGAAAATTTAAATTGAACCTTTGACTTAATGGAATAATAGAAAAGGTAGTACATGTAGACCTTTTAGATAACTAATGTTATGACTTCGGGCAAATCACTACTTTAAGCATTAGCTATTTATTTGTAAAATAGGGACAATATTATCATTACCTCCCCTATTTGGTTCATGATGCAGGAAGAATTCAGTGATACATTAGATGTGAAATCACTTTGAAAACTATAAAGTACTGGCCTAAGTTAGCAATAATCGTGATAGTATATTAATGATGTACCACAGACATCCCATTAGCCTGCTGCTTTACAGTACTTTATTAGTCAGTTCTGGCATTCCAGATACATTTTCTTAGGTGTTTTTAACTTAATATTGTTGAGTATTTTAAATGGTGTTAGAAATCTTATAAGTTTTATAACTGTTGAAAAAGGGGAAGCAATTTCTGTAGTCTTTCAGATTCTAAATGCTGCATTTACTTAAGTGGACAAGGTAACAGAGCTAACCATCACTTGAATCAAGACCTAATTCCAAATCTAATTATATTATATTTAACAAGCTTTTTTTTTTTTTTAAACATATTTAAAATGAAGAACCTGCAGTTCTAAACCTTTAAAATGATGGCATAATTCTTCATTTTTCTTTTTCAGATAATACTAAATATTCATATACACCAGGATGCCCAATTTTTTACTGCTTACAAGACATTATGCGAGTTTGTAGTGAATCCAGTACTCATTTTGCAACACTTACAGCAAGAATGTTAATAGCATTGGATAAGTAAGAAATGTCATTAAAATATTTTTAATTAATCAAATACATGATTAGTTGAAATAGTCTGATAGATCCAGACACTTTGGGGACAAAATGATGAAAATCATACACATATATTAAGAAATGGTTACTCAGTGCAGTTGCTCATACCTATAATCCCAGCTACTTGGGAGGCTGAGGTAGGAGGATCACAAGAGGTAGGAGTTCTAAGACAGTCTCAGCAACTTAGCAAGACCCTGTCTTAAAATAAAAAACATAATAAGGGATAGGGATATAGCTTAGTGGTAGAGCACCCTTGGTTTGAATACCCAGTACTACAGTTTACTAAAAGAGAAAGCAAAAAAGAAATGGTGAGTTTTACAGTTATAGAATAAAAAAGAAAACCCTGAGGACAAGATTGTCTGGTCTGCTTACAGCATGTTAATTTTATTCTTCACAAATAAATACTGCCCTAGCTTAAGAATTAACATTGTTCTGTTATGAAACTAGATTTAGTATTTAATATCTCTCAGTAAGTTCCTTTAACCTCTCTTGCTTTATCTTTCCTAAGATAAATATATCTATTATTAATTGTAAACAAAACTAGTGTTACATATGTCTGGATGTTTAAATTTTTTAAGTACTTCATTTTCTTAGAATGGAATTTTTGTTATTATAATAGCATATACATTTTAAAAAATTGTTTACTATGTCCATTAACAAGACTTACATTAATAAATGAAGTACTTTAAAACTTTAAAAATCTAAATGATAATATTAGAAAATACCACACCAGAGTTAGATAGTGGTCTACTTTTTTCATATCCACTTTTGAGCGGGTACTTCTACTGCCTCTTTTTTCTATTTTGCCAGGTGGTTAGATGAACGCCATGCACAATCTCACTTTATTCCAGCTTTGTTCCGACCTTCTCCTCTTGAGCGGATAAAAACTAATGTCATAAACCCTGCATATGCTTCCGAGTCAGGTCAAACAGAAAACTCACTACATATGGGCTATAGTACACTAGAAATAAAGAGTAAAATGTTAGCCCTAGAGAAAGCAGATACCTGTATTTATAACCCTTTGTTTGGATCAGATCTTCAATACACAAATCGGGTAAGAATTGAATTTTAGCTCTGGTTTCAAAAGACATTTCATCTTAAGTATATTATTTTTCCTGAGATAAATACATGTATTATTAATTATAAATATTAAGATAAAATCCATGCTCTGTGTATATGAAAGTCAAGTTTCTAAAGTTCTTAAGGTTTTTTGTTTTTGTTTTTGTTTGTTTGCTCTTCTAGGTAGATAAAGTGGTAATAAACCCATACTTTGGTTTAGGAGCCCCAGACTACTCAAAAATCCAAATTCCAAAACAGGAAAAATGGCAGAAAAGCATGAGCAGTGTCACAGAAGACAAGTACTATTTTGGACTTATTATATATTGCTTTTCTTAAAACTTAAAAGCTAATGTTAAGATATTTAAAATTATGCATAACACATGTATGATCTAATTATTACTTAGCTTAATAATATATAGCTTGCATAAGTGTGTCACATTGGTTTGAAACAATTTAAATTTCAACAATGCTATTTGTATTTTTTAAATTTCTTTTTAACACTTAGAGAACGACAGTGGGTAGATGATTTTCCGCTCCATCGGAGTGCCTGTGAAGGAGATTCAGAATTACTGAGCCATCTTCTCAATGAAAGGTTTTCAGTCAACCAGTTAGATAGTGACCACTGGGCACCCATCCATTATGCATGCTGGTAAAGAGATTACTTATTCTTTTCTTTTTTTGAATGAATGAATTTTTTAGTAGTGAATGTTGTTTCTCATCAAACAACTATTCTCATTCTACCTTTTCTACTGCGCTTGACTTCTCAACATTCTATTTTGATCTTTTGATTACAGTAAGTCTCTGACTTAGGAACAAGTTCTGTTCCAGGAGAACGTTTGTAAGTCACATTTGTTTCTAAGTCCAACAGGGTGAGTCATATATACCTTTGACACAAATACATAGTGTAATGCATAAGAAAACTCCATATGTTCCATGTCCTTTTCCTTAGAATTATGCTAGTGGTTTAATGTTCATATTATAAGAAACAGGTGAGATCTACTATCTGTTTGCCTTGGTCCAGTTTCTCAGTTTTTTTCACTTTTGTTTCTGTGGGTATTGCTTTTCCTTCCTAGCAGTCCCCTCCACATCCCTTCTCCTCTTTCTTCCAGACATCTTTGGCTTTTAGTAAGCCCTGCACTACTGTACACTTTCACACTGTACAGTAATCACACAGCAGCACAGTCATGGCAATGTCTGGCAGAAACATGAGCTACTTCTGCAATTTGTTCACATCTGTGAATGTTTGTAATAAAAGGTCTGTTCGTATCTGAAAATTTGCAACTTAAATATTTGTGAGTTAGGGTCTTACTGTATTGTATATATTCCACTGTCAGAATTACATTGTCTGCCCCATGGGAAAAGTACTAACAGTGTTCTTAGACATTGCAAAATAACTTAGGCTAGTTAATAACTATTAAATGTCATTTTAGAATCCAAGGTCCCTTATTCACCCTTTCAGTGTTTATGACATTGGATTTGATCTGCCTCCATTCTGAGTACTAATCCTGCATTTCCATTTGCCCAGTCAACAGTTTTGTCACTTACCTTTCACACATAAGACCCTTTGGATTGCAGTGACACCATTCCCCCCCTTAAATAACTTCCAGCCTTGTAGAGAAAAGAGGAACATATACAAGGATGAAATGGGGTAATGAGCTAAGTCTCATAAAAGAAACAAAAACGCTAAATAAAAATATTCTAAAAACCTCTTCAGTTCTTTCCTATTAAAAAGTCATTTAAATTGTTCTTCCATAGCATTTTTAAGGATCATCTTAGACTGAGTCATACCTTTGATAATTTTTAAATAGATTTTTTTTTTTTTTTTTTTTTTTTTTTTTTTA